ACTTTCATGGGAAACTACTACTAATATGAAAACGACAACATCGGCCCAGCGCTATCAAAAGGGAAAACCGCTGCATCGAACACTTGATTGTCTACTACTGCGCTACTGCCTTCTATACTCAACAAGGTGGTGTGGGTGCTTAAGAACCGGACCTCCTGTTCCACATACTGGCTACATAGTGATGGTACTAGTAGTTGAATATACAACGACGCTCGGCTACTAGAACGACTTTTTTGTTGCGCCCTTGATATCAGCTTGGCATTACTACTATTATCAGCATACTAGAACGGAACACCAACTAGTTAGATGGTCCTACTACTTATATTATAGATCGGCACTGCAGATGCACGCTCATTGCCTACTACTAGCAACTCGTACTGGACTACTACGACGAGGGCCGGGGAGAGTCGGTACTATCGATTCAACTAGTAGATCGACTGCCAGCTCAGTACCAACTTGGAGGTGCAACCATGGGGGTCGGACTATTATATAGTATGGCATTCTATAATGAACTAAGCATCGGTAGGGCTATTAGTTGGGTTGGGGAACGACTACATGAGCAACACCGGCATCTCTACTACTAGTTAGTAGTTGGTGCTACTATATAGTGGAAAATTGCAAAGGTTTTGAGCCGAGTATACAAGTGGTAATATAATGCCTTCTAGGATTGAGGCACAGGTGTCCCTAGTGGTGGGCACTTAAAGCTCAATTTTTCCATTTACACAAGACTAGGAGTAAGAAGAGATTAAAAAATCAACTGTGATATTCTCATTGGAATAGCACCAATCATATCATTATGCGTGAGGCTTCACATTGAGATTGGGTTTGTGACCACATCTCAAGTAGCTTTGTGCATACTACATAAGCAAAACCATTAAAGAATCCATATCCAAAATGGGGATTCTCAGTGCTCTAGGTAGAAACTCGTCTGGGAACCTAGCTCATCTTTTGGGAATGCAATTCGCCCTTGATCCTACATTTAATAGCCTAATTGCACTTTGTATCAATAAGTATATGAAGGAAAAAACTTAGAGCATCATCACTAGGAGCCTGGAAACGACAAGATAAATGAAGCACAAAAGAAAGGAAGAAAACAACACAGCAACAAGAAAACATCACAAACACTCACCTCTCTCTCCTTTTCTTGCAGAGCAGGTTTCAGAAGCAATAATCTCTTCATTGGCCCATTCCTCATCCAAAACCTTAGTCGACGCAAGATACCTCATCCAAATAGGTCCAGCCAAGCCACAAACCAATGGGCTCACACCGAACTTCTCCACGAGAGCCTCACACTGCAACTGAATCATGATCTGAATCCCTTCCACGTATTTCAGCCTCAAGCCCTCTGCAATGTCTTCATCGCCTGGTTTTTTATTTTGGCTTCCAAAATCCGCAGGACATCCTTCCTCAACTTTCTCACTCTCTAAGAAAACAGAAGATTTACCATAATCTTGATCTTCTTGGCTCCTATTGAGCATCTGAAGTGAAGCTAGGGTTTTGATCTCGTGTTCATTTTCAGAGATCTGGGTGCAATCTATTTTTCTAGAATTGCCGTGTTTATAGAGACCACACATATCAATATCAATCCCTTGCTCAAATATATCTTGAGATTGTGTGCCACAAGAGAGGCAAAAATAGAGACTATCATCTGTAACAGAGAAACCAATGGCCCCACATCTGGTGCAACACATACTACTCTCCATGGTCAGTTGCTTTCCTCAGCAGGATAAAGGTTTCAAGGTAAGGAAGAAAGGGGTCCAATATTTTCAACAAATAAGTATATATCCATGAAATCTTTTGCTTCGACAAAGCTCCAACCAGATGATTATGTTCCACTCCATACTTCCAATCTGATGATTATGTTCCTGAACATAGAAATTTCATCTTTGACTTAACTTTGAGTTTTACATAAGCGAGTATATCAGACTTCAATGAAATATAGCAAAAAAAATAAATACATAAGGAGAACTGAAAGTTAAAAGAAAAGGCAGGAGATCAAAATTAAAAGATAAATTAATTTCTTAAAGTGATACATGAATAAGTGATATCAAAGCAGCAGGAGCAGGGGAGGAATATCTAGAACTTCAAAGCAAAACTGAATAAAAAATAGGCCTACAATTCATATGTAGGCCACTATTAAATTAGGATAAGGAAATAATTCTTTTAAATAAAAACAAAATAAATGCCACCAAGATAATATAATATAAATAAGTTTCCTAAGCTCAAGGAAAGAAAACGAAAGGCATAATTTTGCTGCAGAGAACACAAGGGTGCCTGCCAGCCCAGCCCTGTCCCCCCACCCCCACCCCCACCCCTTTTTTTTTGGTTTAGGGGGGGGGGAGGAAGAGAGACTTACCGCAGCTATGCATAAGCATGAACCATGAATTAATCCTAGAAAACAAATTATAATATCTCACATACTTGACTGATAAGTAAGTAAACATAAACCATCATTATAACCCTAAAAGGCATATGAAAACATTACCCAAAAGTGAAAAAACAATTATTATAACTCCTACTATTTTGGAAGCTTCAGAAAAGTTGGGTGATCGTGACTCTTTACTTCAAGATTCAAGTGATTTTATGGACACCATATCTGAATCTTGGAGAGGTAGCATGGGGGCGCACCCATGTTCAGATTAGTTACAAAATTAAAAAGGTTCCGGAAGGATCTTCGAGAATGGAATTCCATTTCTTTTGGGTACGTTGGAGAAAAGATTTTTAATCTTCATCGACAGCTTCCAATACTCCATGATAATCTGAGTTGTGACCCTTCCAATGAATCTCTTATAATGGAGGAGAAAGCGTGTGCCAGTAATTTACAGCAATTGTTGTTGCATGAGGAGAGTATGTGGAGACAAAAACCGCAACAAAATTGGTTACGGAATGGTGACGCCAACATAAAATTCTTTCGTCTTTCGATTATTATAAGAAGGAGAAATGACAGGTACGCTTTACTGAACGATCAAAAATGGAATTCCTATTACCAATTAAGCGCAAATTGAGGATCATATGATCAAATATTTTAAGGTTCTTTAGTGATATTGATTTGCACCTGCCAGATCATTTTCCACGTCCTTCACAACTTTACCCAAATCAGCAAAGGCAACTTATTAAGGATGTTTCCTTCAAGGAAATTAAAGCCTGTATATGGGATATGAATAGTGAGGGTGCCCCTAGTGCAAATGGTTTCACGGTGGAGTTCTACAAGTTCAGTCGGGAAGTAATCAAGAAAGACTTATTTGCTGCCCTACATCTTTAAGAGAGGTAAGTTTCTCAAACAAATTAAGTCCATTTTTATTTGACTTATTCCCAAAGTTAATTCCCCAAGTGTTATGAAGGACTTCCGACCGATTGGATTATGTAATGCTCTTTACGAGATTACTAGCAAACTCCTTTCAAATCGATTAAAGGTGCTCTTGGATTCCCTTATAAATCCTAGGCAAGGCAGGCAGCATTTCTGAATGGTACGCTAATCACTGACAATATTCTGATGGCAAACGAACTTATCTCTCTGTCATAAGTATTCCGCGAAACCCAAAATGTGCTTGCAATTAGATCTAAGCAATGCCTATGACCGAGTGTCTTGAGAATTTATTCTTGCTAGAATGCAGTCTTTGGTTTTTCCTTCATTGCTTATTTCTTGGGTTCGTCTTTGCATTACCATCCCTTCCTTTTTGGTGTTACAGAATGGCTCTCCAAAAGGGTATTACGACAAGGGGACCGTTTATCTCATTATCTATCACTATTGGTTATGGATTTCCTAAGCAGACAGTTGGATCATGCGGTGACCTAAGGTTCAATTCATGTGGCTTTCCCTTCTAGATGTGACTATGAGATTTCTCACAATTTTTTATGCTGATGATGCAGTTAGCTTTTGTAAAGCCTCTTGGAAAGCAGCCAGTGGTATGACTTCTCTCCTATCTGTTTTTGAAAAAACCACAAGACAGAAACTCAATGTTGTAAAGAGTAAAGTATTTTTCTTCAAGGTGGCTTAGTGTCCTAATCAAATTATTTTGAGGGAGCTTAGTTTCAATGAGGTATCTCTTCTAATTAGATATTTGGGGCAGCCTCTCTTTCATGGTCGTTTGAAACATAATTACTGCCATAATCTAGTTGATAAGGTAATTGGTAAGATTGGGTAGTGGCAAGCTTTATCACTGTCTTATGCAAGCCGATTATAGTTGTTAAAATCGGTTCTTTCCTCGTCGGTTACCTTCTGGATTATGTCTTCTCTTGCCCAGGAGTAATTGTATTATGGTGGAAAGGCTTCAACATAATTTTTTTATGGGCAAGTACAGCTAAGAAGAAGGGATTCATTTGGTCAAGTGGAAATCTATATTTCTTACTCTAGAGGAAGGGACTCTTGGATTTGTGGAATCTCAAAGTTTAATATCGCATGCATAATGAAGCTAACATGAAGAGTTCTGATAAACCCCTCCTCTTTAATATCGCGGTTTTTCTAAACACATGTACTCATGTACTTTAGATATTCTCTCATACATGGAAAGGTATTCAGATGGGACTATCTTATCAACGGCATAATGTCAAGTGGATTATTAAGAATGGCAAGACAATAGAGTTTTGGGCAATTCCTTCGCTTTCAAAGAATTCTATTTGGGAGACTTATGGTGACCATGTTCATAAAGATCTTGGAGTTTTTGCTAAACCTAAGGTAGCTGATTATCTATAGGGCTTTCCTCAATTCTGGTGGCTTCCTTCTCCTAATTCTGGTTCTCTAACTAGAATTTGGAAGGAGGTAGAAGCATTTGCAATCCGTTTGCAACCACAACAGGATTTTCTGGTGTGGATCCATTTTTGTAATGGATTATTCTCTGTCAAGGAGACGTGGAATTTTATTCGATGTAGGGGTTCCATTCAGCCAATTTTCAAGGCCTTGTGGTCCTCGAAGTATCAGCCGAGAGCCAAAAGGTTCACTTGGTTGGCTATTCATTATCGACTTTTTCTCTTCTTCAATAAAGAGGGATCTCAACGGATTCCGGCTATCCCTTTTGTTGTTCTAATGATGATAGTATCTGCCACCTTCTTTTCCATTGTGTTTTTTCACAAGGTATTTGGAGATCGGATGCCTGGAGATGCAGCAAAAGACTGACCGAACACATCCATTGTAACCATGCTCAGGAACTGAATTGCCTTTAGATTCAAATCATAAGGTCTACTGAATGTTTGGCTATCTCTTTTCTTCACCATAGTTTGGATGTCATGGGAGGAACAAAACCATCGAGTTTTTTGATCGAAAAATCCATATGAGAAAACTTGCTCAAGAGAATCACCTCTCATTTCAGAGAATAGCCGATGCTAAAGCTTGGACATTTCATTTGTCAAAGAGAGAAGTCATAGGCAACTTTCAGATTACATGGCACCAATAGAAAGTCGAACACCCCGTTCCAGTTACATGGTCTTTTCCTTGTCCGAATCACTTTTAAGTTAAATGTTGATGGGGATTCATTCCAAAATCCTGGACTTGCAAGCGGTGGAGGCATGTTAGGAGTGAAGATGACTCCTTTATTGCTGCATTTGTCAATCCCTTTGGAATAGCATCAACTAATTTTACAGAGTTTCATGCCTTGCAGGCAGAGGTGGACCTCGCCATTCTGTTTAATTGTTTCTTTCTACAGATCAAGAGTGATCCATGATCATTGCAAAGCTCCATGGGTGCTCAATATTGTTGTTGGTAATTGCCGATACAAGCTTTCTGACTGTGTTTGGTCCTTAGTCCACATTTATCGTGAAGCCAATATAGTGGTAAATACACTCGCTAAGAAAGCCACAGCTTCCTCAGTTGCCTCCATTTGGCGATCTAGACAGCCGTATTTTCTTTCTCTTGCGTTACTCAATGATGTAGCACAAATGCCCTACTCTAGGGTTGTAACTTTATGAGCCGTATTTTCTTTTATTAATGAAAAATCAGGTAGGGGGCTTCTCCCCCACTAACTTACCCAAAAAAAAACGACCTATGAAAACAAACCACAAGAATATATGTGTCTAGACCATAGTGAGCAAATCACCGTCTAATCGACGATTTTTTCAAAACATCAGCATTATTATGGAAACAGTTTTAAACGGCGAATTTTTTAAAAGATCGGGAAAAAATTAGGTAGTTTTCATAAAAACGTTTGAAACACGTTTTTTTCATAATACGATTTAAATCAAGCCAAAAAATCGCATCCTTTTTACCTATAATTTTTTTTTTGAAAGATAAACGTTTTTTTCCTATTTTGTGTATTGCAGCCATTGCTACTTTCACGCTTTTGAAAAAAAAAATCATTATTTCAAAAAAGAAACCCTAAAATAGAAATTTTTATCCCCACTATGTTCTTCAAAGCCACAGTTGCAGATTGAAGGTATGAATTTTTTTTCCCTTTTTTTAAAAAACTTAAACAAATAGATGCAGATTTCAGTGTTATTATGGAAAATCATTGTGTAAATGAAATATTATTTATAGCAAATCATATTGTAAAGTAAATCATTGTGTAAAGAAAATCATATACTGGCAGGTTTCTGTAATTATTTGTGATAATTGTTTTTATGAAAATACTGTTTATGGCACAAATTAGAGCTCAAAACATAATCTTGTACTGATGAATGAGAAGCAGAGAGTGTGATTACAGGACCAAGTAATCAATATTTTGTTTTTGATTATGTGATAACAAAGATAAACAATATAGTGTAAATTGTAAACTTACAGGAGCAAAGCAAAGTTCCCCAAACCTAATCCTTCAGCTCTGCTTGCTGTTTCCCCATGAAAATGGAAATCCCTCTTTCTTTTCTCTCTCTAAAAATCAGTATGGATCAGTTAGGGCGTCTTGACAAATCAGTATGGTTTGAGAGAAACATCCCAAATCAGAGAGAAAAACCCTCTTCAAACTATTCCAAATCAGCATCCCATCTTCCTTTTCTCTTTCTAAAAATCAGTTAGAGCCACTTCCATTAGGGTTTGTAAAGCCCTGACCACTTCCTTCTTCCTCTCTCCGTAAACACTGGCTATGAGCCCAGCTCTTCCTTCTTGCTCTCTCTAAACCGTCAACGAGGAGATATGAAATCCAAATTTCTACGAGCCTCTTTTCAATTAAAAAAAAAAGGAAAAAGTTTATATAAAGATGGTACCTTATAATGTAGAAGTAGGGATGCCCCAAAAATCCATCGGGAAAAGGTTATGTTAACGATGAAAAACCCTTTCGTTGATCATTTCGACGAAGAGATGTATAACTATTAGAAATAAAAAGATTTTAAATTTAAAAGATAATGAATTTTACAATATATTATCTACCCAATCCATTTTCAAGATTTTTATGTGTTTAGAGATCTATTTATTTTTAATCACTTTTTAAATTTAAAATTTTATAATTAAATATAAAAATAAATTTTGAGATAAGAAAAAAGTTTATTCAGAGCCTCGATGTGTTTATAGATCTATTTGATTTTAATCATTTTTTAAATTTATAATTTTATAATTAAATATAAAAATAGATTTTGAGATAAAAAAAAATTTATACATAACCTCGAAATTTGAGCCTACATCAAAAATTTCACCAGAAGAGGTTCTTTTGATGGCCAAATATCCTCAAATTGATCAGCTCAACATTAAGATGCATGGACTGGAGAAAAAAAATGGATTTCTAGTTTTAGAAATAGTGTATTTTCTAACATATTTTTGAGCCGTCAATTTTCATAATTCTCAAGTTTTCATTTTTTAAGCTTTAAACTTTATAAATGAAGATGAAAGTAAATTTAAGGCTACTACAAATATTCTCAATATTGAAACCACATTTCTCGATACTATTTGAAGGTAGGCTCTAATTTGATTGTTTAGAGCCTTGGCTCTAGGCAAACCGCACCCTTGAGATAATCCTAAGAACATTTTACATAAAAATTATATACCATGATAAAATTTGAAGGTGCACCTTACCTCTATACCTACATATGCATCCGTATGCCAACTGCACCCTTAAAGAAATTCATAAAACTTTAACCATAGATATGGAATGGCCATAGTCACCATACTATAGTTAAATACTTGTAATGAGAAAACAAAAATCGTGTATTTTTTTTATACCTTCCAAGGAGGTGTGATGTTTAAGTATTTAATGAATAAATTTATATAGTATATTTGTTACCATACTGTGGTTAAAGTATTTAATGAATAAATTTATGTAGTATATTTGTTTTAGGTATGTAATAAGTAAGTGTGATGTTTCTTGAAGTATTTAATGGGTAGATTTATATGGTATAATTTGTTTTGGTATATACTAATTAATTATTTATTTAATATTGGATGATTGCATGAGAGTAACGAAGCATCTAAATCAATTGACTTAATTATATTAGTCTAATAAAGTTTTTATAGATGAATTAGTTATTGATGGCTTTGACATAATTTTTATTTTTTAAAATTTCAAAAATTCTAATATTATAAATTTATCCAATTTTTTTAGCCTAATCCGATATATTAGCGATATCTTTATATGGAGTATTTTTGCCGATCTGTATTTTTTATCTGATTTTTTCATCCGATTTTTTTAAATAAAAATGATTTGTTTCCGATTTTATAGTAAACCAATTTATTGATGGTGCCCGACTTACTAACTATAGTCTTGACTGCTTTAGCAGCTAGATGTAAACCATTTTCAATGAATTATCAACGAAAGGAAGTCTAAAAGCAAAGGGTACTAACAAAAGTTGTTTCTAGACTGCATTAGCAGCTAGATGTAAATCATTTTCAATCGGTGAGTAGTGAATTATCAACTACAGGAAGTCTAAAAGTAAGGGTAGAACAAAATCTTACCAATGGCTTAAACTACTAAAAAAATCCGAAGAAGCAACAAAAGTTTAAAAATAAGCACAAAAAAAATCTCGAGGAGGAATCCAAAAAAATCGGAATACAAAGACATATCTATGTATCTATCTACATTATTAAGCTGCAGTTAAGGGATAAATACCAATTGCAAGAATGAAAGGGAACCCTATCCCTAGAGGGAATGTAGGATGGGTTCACTTACAAAGAGGAATTAGGTTGTAAGGTGAACGAATTGCCCTTCTTTTTCGATACAAGGGGCACATTGAAGGGGTACGCACGAATTCTTAAAAGGAGCTCATGGAAGGGGTATGAATATTCAATGGTGAGAATTGAAAGACCTAAAGTAGGAATGAGGGACATGCCCTCAAGAATGGAACGGGAAGGGGGGCATCCCTGTATGAATAATATAAATATAATATATAGAAAAAAGTTGCATGAGGCTGACAACTTATATTGTAAAATTAAGATGCATTTAAAAAATCTATTGAAAAATGCTATTTTGAAGTTGGAAAACTATCTAATTGATCATCTTGACTTCAACATGTATGGGGGGATATTTTAAGTCTCAAAAATATTATATCTTGTAACTCATTATCTAGACAACCTATTTTTAAGATTTTCATGCGTCATGCAAACCACACCCATAATATATTATTAATAAAGCAAAATTATTAATAATTACCAAAGAATTGATAATTTGCTAGATATGATTGATATAAATTCCTAGTCAAACTGGCACAATTTAAAACATAAATAGATATATGCATCAACAAAATCAATGACACTGTGCGTGCGTGCGTGTTACCACAAGTAAGCATAAGCATGAAATATGAATTAAATCCCAAAAAACACTATAACATCTCACGTAATTAACTAAAAGAAAAACCATGATTATAACCCTAAAAAACATTATCTCACGCAATTGACTAAAAGAAAAACAATGATAATAACCCTAAAAAACATTTGAAAATATACCCAACAGTGAGAAAACAAGGATTATAACTCCAACATAACCGACTGCATTAGCACCTTGATGTAAACCCTTTGCAATACGTGAGTTGTGAATTATCAACCAAAGTAAGTCTAAAAGTAAGGGTACAATAGAAGCACAAAATGAAATACTAAAAAAAATCCACAGAAGAAACAACGAAAGGTCAAAAAAATAAGAACAACAAATCAGGGAGGAACCCAAAAAAATCATAATAGAAAGACATATCTATTTATTTATCCATATCCTCATATGGATTTGGATCAGGACCTACCCTGGCATTTCTCTCTTTTTACTTCTCTCATGAGTTCTCCCTTTATCCATTAAACCATCTGCATGTGGCTAAGCATTACTGTGTCTCTTCCTCAAATCATTAGAGAGAAGAGTCGAAGTCACATCCTCCATCTCTTTGGTATCTTTTTCATATAGCAGTATTGTGACAAAATATGCTCATACAAATGAGGGAGTGAAGATAACAAAATTATAGCATTATCCTAATCATCTATTTTAACACCAATATTAAATGATTCACATGTAAATTTATTACAATGATTCAGGTATTCGTAATATCTGTACTTTCATTCATTCACTGCGTGTACAATTTTTGCTTAAAAAACAATCGATTTGTGAGAGACTTCGTCATATACAAACTCTCAAGCTTCGACCAAAGACTTGATGCCAAATCATTATTGGCGATATTAAATAACACTTCACTCGATAAGCACAATCGAATAGTGCTCATAACCCTCAGGTATAAGTCTTCTCAATCTTCATCAAACATGGATTCTAGCTTCTTCAACTTTCTTTTCATAGTTTTATATAGACCTTGTTGCACTAGCAAATTATGAACGTTGATTTGCCAAATTCTAAATTCATTTTTGCCATCAAATTTCTCCATCTCAAACTTTGCATTCGAAACATTTATCGACATACCACTTATTGTGCACAGAAGCTTTAAATCTAATAGCTTGATTTTTGACAAACAAAGTATGAGAAAAAAAAAATAGATAAAAATAAACAAGCAAGAAAAATAAAACAAAAAAAAATTTAAAAAAAAATGCCAAAATTTATGTCGTTCGTCACAGATGTGACTACATCTATAAGTGAAGACTATCGATGTTTTTCGATTAAATTAAAGAAAAAAATTACAAGGAACTTACTCGAGAGAACCAAAGATGCATAACTCAATCTCCCACCAAACATTTTTCTCTCTAAAATTTTCTTTTTCTACAAAAAAATAAATATTCCATTTTTTCTATGTACTGTCTCTCTCTAAAAAATATCATAATAGAGAGAGAAGAAACAAATCTAAAGTGCACCCCACGAGATGGCCCTTACTTTTTCCCATAGTTTCTCTCTCTAGAATACAATATTATATTGAAAAAGAAACCCCAAAAAAAAAACAAGTACATGAGATTTCATGTCAATCCTAACTTTATGGTAAACCTACTTGATCCGTATCTTGCATGGCTCATGGCCATATTAAAGTAGGACTCACCCAATCAACTCCTACCGAATATCTAATTGCTTATCAGCAATCCCAAAAACATAGGAAACCAATACCTTGATAATAGAGATTCAAGACAATTATCAACAAGTCTAGCCCTAGAGTGCCTTTATTATCTTCTTCTCTTGTTATTTCGTTTCACCTTTTAAGGAGGCTTTCTCTTGGTTAAATCCTCCTCGTGGGCTAAGCATCTCAGTCTGAGTATCTGTAACCTCGTATCAACATGTCTAGCCTCTGTGTATCTGTAACATTGTATCAAGGTGTCTAGCCCCAGAGTGCCTTTATTATCTTCTTCTCTTGTTATTTCGTCTTACCCCTTAAGGAGGCTTTCTCTTAATTAAATCCTTGGACTACCCTCTGGGTTTTATCTTCTTCTCTTGTTATTTCGTCTTATCCCAACCTTTGAGTTTTCAGGAGGATTTAACCTGGGTTTTAAGGAGGCTTTCTCTTGGTTAAATCCTCCTCGTGGGCTAAACTCGTATTAACATGTCTAGCCCCAGAGTGCCTTTATTATCTTCTTCTCTTGTTATTTCGTCTCACCCCTTAAGGAGGCTTTCTCTTGGTTAAATCCTCCTCGTGGGCTAAACATCTCGGACTATCTGGGTTTTAAGGAGGACTTAACCTGGGTTTTAAGGAGGCTTTCTCTTTGTTAAATCCTCCTCGTGGGCTAAACATCTCTCTTGGGTTTTAAGGAGGGTTTCTCTTGGTTAACTCCTCCTCGTGGGCTAAACATCTCGGACTATCTGGGTTTTAAGGAGGATTTAACCTGGGTTTTAAGGAAGCTTTCTCTTGGTTAAATCCTCCTCATGGGCTAAACATCTCTCTGAAGGCTTTCTCTTGGTCAAGTCCTCCTCGTGGGCTAAACATCTCTCTGGG